TCAGTGCCAGTGCCCTTGAGCTCCAGTTGGCCTCACATCACTCCAGTTCCTGCTCTGTAATTGTCCACTGCCCATCCCATTTCTGACTGGCAGGGAGTTCTGTGTCTCTTGTTTTGGGGTTACTTATTTCTCTCATGTCTCCCTCAGCACTGTTGTAGAAAAGAATGCAGAAGAATTTATGCTGGAACAAGCTGCTTTTTTGTGCTGCTGCAGTAAAATGAAGACTAGAGCTGGCGTGATTCCTGACCAAAACAAAAGTTCCTTACGTGTTCACTTTGAGTGAGTGACTCGTTCCTTGCACCTCAAATTAGATTTTTTTTTTTGGTAGAGGTGGTTTATAGAGGTGGTTCCTGAGTTCTCCAGCCCAGCAGGAGCTTGATGTGGTGATGATGATGGAGAGTGTGACCAGCAGGTTCAGCCAGGTGGGCTCAGGTAACCTGGACATGGGGCCCTTTTCTGCTGCAGCCTCTGGAGTTCCCCAGCAGCTCCAGTTATTTATTGGCTGCTCCAGGTCAACTTCTGCCTTCCCTGTGTGCCCCAGGGGGGCTTCCTGGCACATTCCTCTGCCCCAGCTCCTGGTTTTCAGGGAAAAGCCTGGAACTGCTGGCCTGGATGCTGAGGGCTCTGTTGAGCAGCTGCCAAGGATAGCCCCTGCTTCCTCAAGGGCATGTGCTACATAATTTATGTATCACTTACTCCATGAAGAGCTTCAGTGCTCCTTTTTCTGTGTTCTGGAGTGCTGCAGTAAATGGAACAAAGTTTTTCCTCTTTTTTTTTTTTTTTTTTTTTCCCTCTAAGAGGTTTTTTTTCCTTGTGTTTACTGTGGAGCAGTGGACAGGTAGGAGCTCCCTGGTGTGTCCATGGCCAGGAGTGTGAGGGGTTGAAAAACACACTCAGGAGGTGGCACATGGCACAGACCCCACTCAAGGCACAGGACTTGTGGTATTTATGAATTTTTCTGTGGCAGAGTTAATATTTTCCATGATCCTGGCAATCTGGACAGATTTCTTCCACACAACAGAGCTGTTCAGTAGGTGAAGTGCTGCAGATCTGATTTCAAATGCTCCTGCTTGAAGGTGGAGAGGGAAAATGTTCCCAAGAAATAATCTGAAAACTGCTTGGAAATCTGTGAGCAGAGCACCTAATTGGCTAACAGTGGACACTGCTGTGGCATAGGTGGGCATCTGCATCCCCAAATTAACCCTGAAAACATCAGGATTGGTGAGGAGAAAAGGGGAGTCACCTCAGACATTCCCATCTGCCAAAAAGCCAACGGAGCTGAGAACAAATGGTGGCTTCAGAGCTGGAGCAGTTGGACTCTGGCATGGTTTAAACACTCATTTTATTAGAAAAGCACTGTGGAGAAAGTTTTCCTTTAGAGCAATCCTACAAATTTCTCCTCAAAATCCCACCCTGGGTCTGCTTCACATTATGAAATCTCTCTTCAGGGACTGCTTGGGATTTTTTTTTCCCCTTAAGGAACAGGCTGGGTGTTGGAGAGACATATGCATTGTTTCACCAGAGCTGCAGCCTCTATTTCCAGACAAGAGGGAAGCACATTGTTTTGTGTCTTTGATATGATCCAGCCAGAAAACAGCCTCAGGGAAGAAAATTCCCAGTCCTTGGCAGCAGCACTGTCTTTCTGCCTTTTTTTTTCTTCCCCTCCCTCTGTCAGTGCCACAATGTTCACTGTTCTAATAACTCAGGACTAAACTCACATGGGGCATCTCAAAAGTCCTTTGTAAGACTTGAGGTCAGAACTTGCTGAAAGTTCAGAGGGACGAGTCTCATTTTCCTAATGAAGAAAAGTTCCAGGGTTATTTTGGAATTAGGTCTAAGAAACTGGTACAAGAAGCTACTTCAGTGCTGTAATTTAGTGACAGTGCAGCAAATTTGTGGTGGCTGCTGAAAACTTTCCACCTTCCAGCTCGGGCAGACTGAGCCTTGCAAAAAAACCCTCAGGTGTTGGTGACAGAGGGCAGGGTTCATTCAGCTCTCTGAAATGTGATTATTTCAGGTGCACGGTCTGGCTGTATCTTCCTATGGAAGACGCTGCAGGAAACTTCACTTGTTGTTTATTTTGGTTGGAATGAGCCCCCTGGAGCTGAAGTGACTTAACTGAGGAATGTCACAATTTATTTGAGGGCAGCTGCATCTAACAGTGACACACTTGTCAGAGAGTCTGGATCCTGGAATTACAGGAGGTTTGGATTCCCAGGGACCTCAGAGCCCATCCAGTCCCACCCCCAGGGCAGGGACACCTTCCATTATCCCATCCTGCCTGGCCTTGGACATTCCCAGGGATCCAGGGCAGCCACAGCTTCCCTGTTCATATCCTGTTTGTAGAAACACTCGGAATACTTCTGATATCAAATTGAATTGATTTTAACAAAGATTTTTGTGATTTTTCCATATTGCTCTATTGGGTATTTGTGACAGGTCACTGATGAACCTACAGGGAAGATGGTGGGGGGTGAACTCAAGTTAAAATCAAATATTTTTTGTAATGAGAAGGACAACAGAACATTAAAAATATTAATTATTAGCATTTCCTTATCCGGCTGTTCTCCTGGTTTTCTGTATAGCAGATTTTCTTTTTGTCATATCTCAGTAAAATCTCTTCTTCCCTTTCTCTTCAAATATTTATAATTTTGGTATAAACATAACGTGGTTGAAAAATTAGCTGAATATAGCAAAAGACACAACACTATTAAAGTGTTGCTCCAAAGTGCTTAAAACTAAGAATAGTCCATTAAACTTGGCTCTGATTGCGTCATCTGATGTGAAGTGTTTATAATTTTGGGTTGGATTAAGCTATTAGACCATTTAACTACTCCTGTATTTGCGGGTGGGGAGAAATGTGAATTCTTCTGTGGAAGAATTGAAAATACATCTGTGGTTTGAGGCTTCTGAGAAATGATAAATTTAGCCCAGTGCTGTAATCAGTCCGTTTTGTGCCATTCTCCTTAGTCTCTCATTATTGGCTGTAATTCCAGCAGAAGGAATATCTCTATTCTCAAGTGGATTTGTGGTGCTGGGGGGGAACCCTTATTATTTTTATTTTTTAAATTTTTCTCCTGAAAAACAGCTGGACCATGCAAATGACAGAGTGGTGGATTTCTCCTTAAGGTTAAAGTTGTGGCTTGCTGGGAACTATTTTAAAAATCTATGAGGAGTTGCACGTTTATACCTCAGTACCATTGCTGCCTTTAACACAATGTGTGCATTTTCAGCCTTAACTCTCTTGGAATTTCAAATGGTTTTATTGACCCTTTAAACAAACCCGGTATATGGCAGGGATGCTAAACAAAAGAAACCAACCAAATATTAGAATATGCTATCAGGCTGTTTGTATTAATGATTAATTAATGGGGAAATGGGAGCTCTGGCCTTGTGCCAGGGAAAGAACTGGAAGGGGATGCCTGGAGCTGATGCTTGTAGGACTTGTGAGATTTTATGGCCAGAAAAAAGATCCAGTGTTGGTTTTCTTGTGCTTTTGCCAGTGGGTGGGAAAGAGGAGTGGAGTCAGACCCCGTTCCTCACCTTCTGTAATAATCTCATCATTGCTACCAAAGTTTTGTGTCCTGATCTTTAGACTAAACCTGTTCTTTGCTTTGGTCTTCCCTTCCCATGGCCATTGGCTGTAGGAGATGGAAGAATCCTGTGTCCAGCTCTCTCCAAGCCCATTAGAAGCCTTTGGGTTGGTGGAGGGTGGGCAGGCCCTGGCACAGGGTGCCCAGAGCAGCTGGGGCTGCCCCTGCATCCCTGGCAGTGCCCAAGGCCAGGCTGGGCACTGGGGACAGTGGGAGGTGTCCCTGCCATGGCAGGGGTGGCACTGGCTGGGCTCTGAGGTCCCTCCATCCCAAACCATTCCATGATTCTGTGGTGCCTCCCAAGGCATAAACAGGAGATGGGAGCACATCCCAAATCCATGAGGGAGCCACCATGCAGCTCCTCAGGGCCCCTTCCTCTGCCACCAAGCCTTCATTGTTCCTTCCCTCCACTTCCAACAGGTTTTGTTTGCTGCCACGTTTGGGAGCTGTCAGGTGGGATTGGGAATTTGGGAAGAGCGTGACAGGGAGAGCTTTGCCTCCATACCTTCCATCCTCTCCATGCTGGGATGGGAATGGATGCTGGAAGGACATTTCCTGGCATCCTTGCAGCTGTGACTGCTGCCAGAACCCACCCAGTGTTCCCTCCCGTGCCTCTGGTGCTCCCACAAAACCCCAGGTGTGGGTGTCCAAAGGCACTGGCCCTAAAGTGAGATGGCAGGTGGAGTTTTGCTTCTGCCACTTGCTGGAATGGGATGTTTTCTCCCCTTGGATCATATGGATGTGTATGGAGAGCTTTCCAAGTGAAAAATAACCCTGTGATTATCTGTACCCCAGACAGGAGCAAACTCACCTCAAAACCTGCAGAATAACCTTGATTCTCCAGCTGATTTGAAATGGATGTTGATATTTGACAGTGCTGTGACCTCGCTTTGGTTTTTCTAGCAGCCAGCTGGTGTCTCAGGTGCTGTCCTGTGGTGCCAGGATCTCCCAGGATTTGGGAGGTGCAGTGCAGGAAATGCTGAGCCAGCTTTGGGCTCCATAGCCGTTGTTATTTGTTGGTCTTTTCAAATTTTATTTTCCTACGATTGCTTGGAAGAGGAAGATCTGGTTAGTGGCTTGAGAAGGAGACTTGTGAGACACCAGAGTAATGAAAAAGACAATGTATTTTTGTTGCTTGCTGTGTTCTGGGGAATTTGGGTCACTCAATCCTCCCGAATCGCTGCGTCTCTGAAGGTACCTGTAACCATTGAAGTTGACTTGTGAAAGGCTTTTACCACTTAGCCCTACAAATATTGAATGATGTCTGTTATGGATTGCAGGAAATATAAAGGGGGAAAAATCTGTGGTGTTCAGTGATTTGTTTTACTACACTTCAAATTTTTTCTCATTACTTCATGAAATTCCTCTCTAATTCAATCTTTGTCTTTTGTCTTTGCTGCCTTGCAGGGTTGGTACAGTAGGCCTCACTAAACTTAGCTGCAACTAAGAATTTCTCCTACATCAACTGAGTTAAGGCTGATGCTCTTGTGGAATGTGGATTAAAAGTGCGTGCTAAGTTCCCAAATTTGAGAAGCGGAGAAAAGTAAATGTACCACTGCCACCAGCATCAGGACAGCAAACCAAGGGACAAAGAATTTGACCCGCTGTGTTGATTTTGGTTAAAACTGGTTCACGTGGTGCTTAAGAGACGTTGGCTGGGGGGCGAGAAGTGGACGTCAGCGAAGGCTTTTTGGTTACAAAATGAGGGCTTCTTTGGAGCCAGCAGACATTGCCATTGTGGCCCTGTACTTCGTGCTTGTAATGTGCATAGGTTTCTTTGCCATGTGGAAAAACAATCGGAGCACCGTGAGTGGCTACTTTTTGGCAGGGCGTTCTATGACCTGGGTAGCTATCGGGGCCTCGTTGTTTGTGAGCAATATTGGAAGTGAACATTTCATTGGGCTCGCAGGATCTGGAGCGGCGAGCGGATTCGCCGTAGGCGCGTGGGAGTTCAACGCCTTAATGCTTTTGCAGCTTTTGGGATGGGTCTTCGTGCCAGTCTACATCCGCTCGGGAGTGTACACCATGCCCGAATACTTGTCCAAGCGGTTCGGAGGGCATAGGATTCAAATCTATTTTGCAGCGTTGTCTCTGCTTCTTTATATCTTCACCAAACTCTCGGTTGACTTGTATTCGGGGGCGCTTTTTATCCAAGAGTCCCTAGGGTGGAACCTCTACCTGTCGGTGATCCTGCTGATCGGAATGACGGCGCTGCTGACCGTGACCGGAGGGCTGGTGGCCGTCATCTACACGGACACCCTCCAGGCGCTGCTTATGATCATCGGGGCCCTCACACTCATGATCATAAGCCTCATGGAGGTCGGTGGGTTTGAAGAAGTGAAAAGGAGGTACATGTTGGCGTCACCAAACATCACCTCCATCCTCCTCACCTACAACATCTCCAACACCAACTCCTGCAACGTCAGCCCGAAGCCCGACTCCCTCAAAATGCTGCGCGAGCCGACGGACGAAGACATTCCCTGGCCCGGGTTTCTGCTGGGACAGACCCCGGCCTCGGTGTGGTACTGGTGCGCCGACCAAGTCATAGTGCAGAGAGTTCTGGCCGCCAAAAACATCGCTCACGCCAAAGGCTCCACCCTCATGGCCGGCTTCTTGAAGCTGCTGCCCATGTTCATCATCGTGGTGCCGGGGATGATCTCCCGCATCCTGTTTGTGGATGACATCGCCTGCATCAACCCCGAGCACTGCTTCCAGGTGTGCGGGAGCAGGGCCGGCTGCTCCAACATCGCCTACCCGCGCCTGGTGATGAACCTGGTGCCCGTGGGGCTGCGCGGGCTCATGATGGCCGTGATGATCGCCGCCCTGATGAGCGACCTGGACTCCATCTTCAACAGCGCCAGCACCATCTTCACGCTCGACGTCTACAAGCTCATCAGGAAGAGCGCGACCTCCCGGGAGCTCATGATCGTGGGCAGGGTGTTCGTGGCCTTCATGGTGGTGATCAGCATCGCCTGGGTGCCCATCATCGTGGAGATGCAGGGCGGGCAGATGTACCTGTACATCCAGGAGGTGGCGGATTACCTGACCCCGCCGGTGGCCGCCCTGTTCCTCATGGCCATCTTCTGGAAGCGCTGCAACGAGCAGGGGGCTTTCTACGGCGGCATGGCCGGGTTCGTCCTGGGCGCCATCCGCCTGATCCTGGCCTTCTTCTACCGCGCTCCCGAGTGCGACCAGCCGGACACCAGGCCCGGCTTCATCAAGAACATCCACTACATGTACGTGGCCACGGCCCTGTTCTGGATCACCGGGGCCGTGACGGTCGTGGTGAGCCTGCTGACGCCGCCGCCCACCAAGGAGCAGGTCCGGACCACCACGTTCTGGGCCCTGTGGAAGCGCGGCGCGCCGGAGAGCGCCGGCAAGGGGGAGCTGTACCAGGGGCAGGAGAAGAGCATCCTCAAGTGCAATGAGAACGCCAACCACATCATTCCCAACGGGAAGTCGGAGGAGAACATTAAGAACGTGAAGCCGGAGGATATCAACCTCCTGGTGACGTGCAGGGATGACAGCAACCCGGTGATCTCGGTGAGCCACTCCGAGGTGGAGACGCCCGTGGATTGTTACTCCAACGGACAGGCCGCCCTGATGGGGGAGAAAAAGCACGAGGAGGAGGAGGGGACTGACAACAGGGCGAGACATTTGAAATTCATAGATTGGTTCTGTGGCTTTAAAAGTAAAAACGTAAACAAGAGAGTGGTTCGGGAGGTCGAGGAGGAGACTGTTTGTTTACAAATGCTGGAAGAGACTCCAAAAGTTAAACTATTACTAAATACTGGACTGGTCTGTGTCTGTTCCCTTGGAATCTTCATGTTTGTCTACTTCTCTTTGTGAGTGAATAGTGAACTTTTAAGGGTATGGCTTAAACATACAGAAGTTGATACAGGTCTCTGGAGATTTTTGGTTTTTCCTTTCTTTTCAAACAACATAACCACAACCCAGGCATTGTTTACGCTATAATTGTAAGGTCAACTCAGCTTTAGCCTATTTCGAGACCATTTGAGATGTGTTGTCCTCCCTCTGCTGAAAGCAGAACCTGTCCTGTGGTGGCTTTTTCTTTTCTCCCTTTTGTGTTGGTTTTATTTTTTTTTTTCCATTTGCAGCACTAACCTTTTGTTTTTCTGTGTATAAATATACCAAAGGTAGGCAGGTGGCTGTGTTTGAAGTCAGGCAGTTACAGCTCAGTCAGCATTAAGTGAAGATAACAGGTAATCAGTTACCAGTGTGTAAAATCTGAGTGATTAAAGCTGTGTCAAAAGATTTTTAAACGCAGAGCTGTGATGCACATTTATAAAATAACTGTATTACCTTGGCCAACTTAGCACTTTTTAATTGCACTCACTGCTTTTTTTCTTTTTTCAGTTTCTCATTTTTCTTCTGGCAACAACAGGAAGCTGTTTTGTCTCATTTTATAGCACTTAAAACATGATGGCTCTTAGCAGGTTTCTGCCTTTTTTTTTTTTACTCTTTGTAAGGAAATTTTTGTCTTTTGATTTTTATCCGCTGTAAATTCCATTACTGAAAAGTTTCTGTATTAAAAGAAAAAAAAGAGAAAAACTAAAACAAAAAAAAGCCTGGATATGACAAACTGTCACTGGAGGAGGACGAAAAAGAAATATTCTTTCTGTGGGGTTTTGTAGTATATTGAAATTGAAGAATCACAGAATTCTTGGGGTGGGTTTGGGATGTCCCTGGGCAGCTGTTCCAGGGCTCTACCACCTCCATGGAAAGAAATTTTTCCTCAGGTTTGGGTGGAATTTCTTGCGTTTCAGTAAATGGCCAAAAGATTAATTCAGCCTCTCCACCCTCTGAACCTTTAGCACATTGTAAAGATTAGCTTCTTTTTAGGGAAAAATCTGTTTGTAGGTTCTGCCATATGGGAAGAAGAGAACCATGAAGCTTTGCATGTCTTGAAAAACTGTTTTGACCCCGCAGAAGGGTTTTCCTCTGCTGTGTCTGGGAGGAATCCCAGAGGAGGAAGAGGAGGAAGCTCTGATGCTGCAGAGGGAGAACAACTGGGAAGGCGAGGAAGGGGAAATGGGAGGGAGAGGTGAAAGTGCTCCTTGTTTTCCAGAGTCCTTTTGCCCCACGTCTTCTCCCACTTCCCCTTCCACCCTGTCAAAATTCCTTTTTGTATTTTGAGGAATCCCAGAATCCCTGAGCTTGGAAAAGCCCTCCCTGGTCATTGAGTTCCAGCTGTGCCCAATCCCCACCTCGTCACCCAGCCCAGAGCGCCCCATTCCTTGGACACCTCCAGGGCTGGGCACTGCACCAGCTCCCTGGGCAGCCCCTTCCCCATGAGTGACCTTTGTGTGAAGAAATTCCCTCCTTCCCTCCCTCCTCAGAAGGATCCCAAGGGATTCGGTGTCAGGAGACGGGGAGTGCGTGCAGCCACAAATCTGTGTCGCCAATTGAGGTCTGTCCTGTCCTCAGGATTTTTCCAAAAACCTGAATTCCTCCCAGGCAGTCACAGCTATTTGTAGATCTCCAGATCCAGAGGATGTTTCCTCCTGAAGGATGGATGGATGGATGGATGGATGGATGGATGGATGGATGGATGGATGGATGGATGGATGGAAGGAATGCCCAGGCAGGGATGAGCAGTTCCCAGGTGTGGAGGATGTGTGTGTAGCAGGTTAGTGCTCTCATCCTTCCCCAAGCCAAGCTGGGTCCTGGTTTTGGGAGCAGATCCCATCAGTGTTAAAACTCCTCTCTCCAGGACAGAGTGGTCATATCCAGGTTTTTCCATGGAAATAATTCCTCCAGTTGTCTTTGCTCCTGAGCTCGTTCAGGAAAGCATGAACTGGCTGGGCCAAAATCGGGCTGAGGGACCACTGTGAGCATTCACCAAAACCATTTCAGGGGTCCAGCACCATTTCCTTGGCACACAAACAAGAACCAATTCCTGTGGGGGAAACCTTTTTGTAGAGATGAGATTTGGGTCAGTCCTGCCTTTTCCTGCTGGAGAAAGTTTGCTTTTCCAGTGGTGCCATCCACACGGCTTCTAGCAGATAATTCCCAATACATCTTTTCAGATAAAATGATTCACTTCTATTTTTGGGGTGGTTTTGTTTGTTTTGACGGTGTTTTAATATCAGCTGAATCTGATTCATTCCAATACTTTGACCAGAGGCTGAGATGCCACACTTTTCTCCACTTGCTTTAGTTGTTGCTGCTGGGAAGTAGAACTACTCCAAAGTGGAAAACTTGGAGTGTTGTTGCAATATTTGTAAGAGAGGAGCCACCATACGTGGTGCTGATGTTGCTACCAATGGGAAAAGACAGATTTTCTTATGATTTGTGTGTCCACAGCTTGGTTTGGGAAAACATTTTAAATCCTATTTAAGGGTGAAATCCTGGTGTGTGGAATTAATGGCATCTCAAGTTGCTTCATTAGTGGGCTGAGCTGTGAAGGACGGTTTGATGCAAAGACATAGGGAATTGTTTCCATACAGGATAAAATCATTTAGGGCAACATTTGATCATAGTGGGATGAAAAATCTATTGTAGAAGGCAAAGCTAATTCTCAGTCCAACAATATCCTCCTGAGAAGGCTGGGATGTGGCTCCAACACCCGGTTTGGCCCGGGGAAGGAGACTCGCGTCCGTTCAGAGCTCGACTGCTCGGAACAATTTTGGAGCACGATTTTGGAGCAGCTCCTGGCACTGGGGTTTTCCAGGCTGCTCCTCAATGTGCAGCGCTCTGCCACCGCCTGGGAAGCCAGGTTAGCTCAGGGACCCTTTGGCTCGGCTCCATCCCCCTGTGCTGTCCCCAGGGTGCCTTACACGGGCGGGCGGGCGGCCCAAGGCGCGGCTGGAGGAGGCGCTGCCCGCGCTCCTTCCAACGCTTCTCCCTGCTGCTTCCATCCCTCCCCAGCCATGTGCTCCTCCAGGAGGACACTTGGAAGAGCCAAGAGGCACAATTCCAGTGTCCTGCTTGGTCACATCCGTTGGGAGCTCTCCTTGGCCGTGGGAGGGAGCTGAGTCCTTCAGGACTGCACTGAGCTGCTCCATCTCCCGCTTCCTTTCTTCTCCCTTTTGCTACACTAACGAGCTGCCACATTAATCACACTGCTAATTGGCAGGCAGGATCATCATGGATTATTAATCTGCCTCCCCAGCCCATCTTCAGACCTGGTATTGTGAAGCTTTTAAGCAAATTCTTTCTCCAGTGCTTTTTCTCTTCAGGTGTTTTGTGTGCTCCTCTTCAGCCTCATTGTGTCGTAGAGATCCTGGAAGTTGCTGATGCTCTTTGCTGCATAAAACCACTTAATAAAAGGCCTTTATTAATAAATAAAGATATTCCTAAGGTTCCAAGCAAGCTGCCTGCTGGTGAGAAGGACCTTGTGTAGGAGAAGGGATTTTTTATAGCGTAAACAAGCCTTTGCTGAAGGGGGAAGTTGGTGAATTTGGGGTTAAACACCCATTTTTTGGTTCAGCAGAACCACAGAGTGTTTCCCACCATGGAATTTTGTTGCCTGGCCCCCTCCCCCTGGGTGGGGCTGGTTGTGCTTCTGTCTTGCAGCAATGGGTTTATTTATTATTGCCTTGAGCTTAGGATGACAAGTCCTGGAAAACTGAGTTTGGAATGACAGCTTTTTTTTCTTCTTGTTATTTTCCTTAACTTATTTTTTCTGGTAAGATATTTGAATTTTGCTCCTGGAAATGGTAGAAGCCTTTTATTTAAAAAAATAATTTAAAAAAAAAAAAAAGAAGAGGCTTCTTGAGAGTTTAATAGAACACTTTGGGAGACTGTTTTTATTTAAGTTTTTTTTTTTTTAATGGCTGATTTGATGCTATTCTCTGCCAAAGTTTAGAGGCTTTTTTTGTTGTTTAATTTCTTTTTTAATAATTTTTCCTGTTTAGCTTTTAGGGAAAGGAAACCGTGCGAGATTGTAAGAAATAAAAATGGCCTTCAGTATATTCCTTATATTGTGTATTTTTTACTTCTCCACTTGTGTGTTCCCTGATCCCAGAAGGGCCAGGATGAGACTTCTGATGAGAGTCATGAGCCCTGTAACCAGGAGAGAAAAGGATTTATTTCCATGAGGTTACAGTGGAGGGGGCAGAGCCACCAGGGAGCTCTGCCAGCACTTAAAAGATGCTTACAACTTTAAAACAGCTTTATTTTTTTTATATATCTATTTTTTTAAATCCTGAGATAGAGGAGGTGTTGGGAATTGCTCCCTTTCAGAGAACAGAGACATGGAAGGAGCTGGAGTTGCCAAGCTCCAGCTTTCTCAAGGAAATCTTTGGATTTAGCATGTACAGAGAAGCAAAATTACTCATCTGTTAATTTGGTATTCTGTATGTTCTGTGCCCTTAAATGTAATTGTTTTGAAAATAAAACTAACCTTGTTATGTGATGTTAAAAGCAGACTTCTGTGCAATGTTTTAATTTTTTTTGGTTTTTTTTAAAGAAAATGTTTGTATATAATTAAATGGTTTAATGTGCTTTAATTGGCCTAAGGTAAAGAGTAGTCCTAGAATGTAAAACATATATAATTAGAATTTCTGATTTCACTGTGAGATCTCTGAACTCTTGGTTTTTTGGTATTGTTTTGTTTTTTTGGTTTTTTTTTCCTTTCTTGCAAAGTGGTTTTGTTTTGTTTACAAAACACTTTCTCTTTGATTTCTTTCCTGGTGTTGGTTTCAAGGCATTTGCTTCACTTCTGTTCCAATCTTGAACTCATGGTATAGTGACATCTGGTGACACTTGGCATTCTCAGTTCCACTGTGTAAAGTCAGACACTTTGAGCAAAACTGGCGGTGAAATGACAATTCTGTGTCTAGGGATTCACGCTTTTCAAATGAGGTGGTTATAAAAATAGTTGCTGTGCAAAATGTTAGTAGTCTTCTTCAAGAAGAAAGCAAAATTTTCTAATCTCACTCGAGCAGTCTCTTCATTCATCATCTTCTTTTTTAAAGCACAGTGTCAAAGTGATGCTGCTTTACCTTGTATCTCTGAGAAAAATGTTTTTTTAGATATCTGTGAAGTATTTTTGGGTTTTGTTGCTGTTGTATTTTTCTGCAGATTTTATATAAAATACCAGTTAA